GGAAGAGCGATTCGTGTGATTTCATCTATTTTTCGAAGTGGGTTATTTTGGGAATCGGTGTAGCGAAAGAGGTATGTCCAAAGTAATCGACAGATTGCCTGGAGGGCTGTCCCTCGGGTAGGCCGGTCTTTCAATTTTGGCGGGAGGCTGGTAATCACAGACATCCACTGGGCATAAAATGTTTCTTTGGGCGACACGCATAGAAGTAGAGTATAAAGGGGGAATGCACTATTCCAGTGCCGAGGTTTTCCGAGAATTTGAGATAAGCGTGGAAAAAGGATGTCCACAAGCTCCTTCCATTTGGGTGACGTAAAGTCACAGGTGAGATTACCCGCGATAGGGAGGAGGAGGACCTCGAGAATCTGGCAATATGCTTGTTTCAAGGCCTGGCCGTGCGAATTGACGAATAATCTCGCCACGGATTGTAAAAAGTCACAAGACCTACTCCAAACATCCTCTGGGGAGGTCCGGATTTGGATATGTCTCATCCCATATATAAGTAACTCCGCTTTCGCCTCCGCATCTTTTGCCGCTGCTAATCTGAAGTCATCCTTCTGAAACTGGCTTAATTCCGCAAGGAATCTGTTGGTAACGCTGGTAAAACTAGATTCACTCATGATACCCAAAAGTTGACCATATATACGCCAGTTTGCCATTCGAAGCGGCGATGCAGCAATTTGGTCCGGATCAACAGTTTTCAATTGCCCAAAAACAATGTCTTCTAGCCGCTCTGCCATCTCGGAAGTGATGGCTTGCAGAGTGCTCTGGTTGAAAATTTCGATCAACACGCGACAGACGAGGTATACAGAGACTGTAGCCCGGCGTTCAGCGAGTATTACGTCCTCTTGCCGCGATACAGGTGAGAGGTGCGAGCCGTTCGGCACAGCGCTGGAATCTTGACTTTCAGGCCCGGGATGCGTAGGTTCGGTATTACGGCGGGAAAGAGCGCCCACAAAAGGGGGCACTTGCCTTGCCTATCGTATGGGTTCAGCCAGGAGAAGGAGGAATATAGGGGAATATAAATGGTCAAACAGCTTGGAGATATGAATATCTCAGGGAAATACTTACCTGGCTGGCAGCGTGTTTAGCTGCAGACGCAGCTTCTCCCTTGGCCTTTCTCCAAACCATAATTGTATCTATCAAAGGCTTCGGTTTCCTTTTCGCAATGTGTCCCAGAGCGGAAATGAGTTGATCGAAGATAGGATCAGCACCTGGGCCGCAAATATGTTCCACAGGCGTGTCATATTCATCGATGCTTAAAATGCATTGATTGATTTTTTCATCTGCCTGGCCAACAAACTGTGAATAGGATATCGAAATTAGTCGGAATCGTCCAGGCATCTTCTCAAGAAAAGTGGGAGAAGAGAAAAACAAACCGAGTTGAATAGATGATGTAGAGCATATTCCCCGACAGTTCTCGCTTCCTGCGAATGTTTGGCAGAATGTGAGGGATGATGGGAATGGTCTCGTCGCGATTTCCCACTTGTAGTTGCTTTACGTTGGGAAGATGGCTCACTAGCCATTTCGGCCTGGTGATTATCCGGTATAGTTGCTAGGCTCAACGGCTGCATCTGGCCAGTGACAGGGGTTCCGCCCCCAGTATATCCAGCAGGGTATTCAAGAGGATCTCGTTTTCCATTCGAAGGTGGATCAATGACATGGGCAACCCCAAATGCTGCAGTCGCAATGGCCTCCGGACTTAGAGGGCTGGCAGTAGCGGAGGAAGCGGCAAAACTTGCATTCCTCGAGTGCTGGATGCTTCCGTGGACTATTGAGGCCTGGCGATGGTGGCCGTACGCGGAATTGGAAGGGCGTCTCTCTAGACCTTCGCCGTCTAGGCTGGTACCTGATCGTGTACCTACGGACTCGGGGCTTTTGGAGTGGGACTGGGTCCGTAGCCGTGGTTGTGGTTGTGGTTGTAGCGATTGAAGGGAAACCGGGGAAGAACCAGCAGCTCTCCCGCGGGGAGCAGATGGGTCTCGAGCATGGGATAATGTCGGAGGAGGAGGGTTTCTGGAGGCCAAACGGTCGGACGAGGAGTGGATGTTTTTCTGGGGGATGGGGAGAGCAGGTTCTTCCAGCCTGAATGGCAGCGCATGACCAGCACCAACCGGCCGCAGCGGGTGAGGACTGGCTGTACACGAAGTAAGTAGATAGAGTTAGTTGTTGTTTCCGTTTCCAATCCCCAGTCAAATAGCAATGCATGGATGATATCGCTTTTTCATAGACATTGGAGTCGTGAGCAAAAAGTATATAGCTATATCTACTCCGCCTGTCGGGACGGGAGAAGCTTGGCAAGGATCTTCGAGAAACTTACAGGTATGTTGCATCTTCAACAACCTCCTCTAGCAACGGGAAGAGGGAAGAAGAACAAAACGGTATGTCCTCGCATTGTTGAGACCACAATCCATTACAAGACACGGGGGCACTTGGGCAGCGCGCGTTGGGGGAATGGCTAGCTGGTCTGTGGGAGGAAGAGAGACAGATGGAGGCGAAGGATGCGATACATACCAGGACTGGCTTGGCTTTTTTTTTGGCACCAGCGAGGCGGTTTGGTTGCTGACTGACTGACTAACTACTAGTTAGTTACTACTACTATGTTACTACTACTACTACTACTACTTCTACTACTAACCTAACTACGGAGTAACTACTAGTTAACTACTACTACTTACACGCTGATGAGAGACCGACATGCAGCCAGTTCTTCTTCTTATTATTATTATTATTCTAATAATAGTTACTATTGCAGACTAAAAGAATCCTATCCTCCTGTTCTTAGTTGTGGCAGAAAACTTCATTTTCCCCTTTTTCAATTGAATCTTGATGTCACCATGGTGCAATACGAAACAGGCCATTCCACTCCGTCCTGCCAATGGCTGGATCCAGCAGCACTGTGATGCAAGTTCTCTCTACCCGCCATTCCGAAACCTCACACACGTTCACAAAACCCTTCGCGGCCTGCATTCGGTTTGGTTGCTAACCAGTAGTAAAACCCCTCGCAGTGCGCCCAAGATGAGTAGCAGAATTATGGATTTGATGCTGGCGTCCATGCGGGATTTGTCCACGTTCTTCTCTTCCCTCTCATCTGGGACCTGAAAACCGCCCGGAAACAGTGAATGGCCTGCTTCAGCCACCCTATCCATCGGTTGCGGCTATCTACTGGACGGATAACCTGACAGACCGCTGTTTTTAACTCCTCGAGTTGTGCTTGCTGTTCGTCTCTTGGTAGGTCTGACCCATCAGACGTTGATTGAATGGCAAATTCCTGAGCGCTTGTATGGTAACTAACTAGTCAGTCTCCAGCAAACCCTCCATAAATAAGCAACGATTGGGATTCTTCCCTCATCAGAAAGCAGACAACTATTTAACCAGCAGATCAATATCATATGGTTAACCGCTGTGCAGATTATGTACACATTAACAATGCACAGCGTTATTATTCTCTTTGATCTTGCAGAACCCCAAACTGCGTGGACAGCCGAGTTTGGGGTATTAAAACAAAAGAAATCGATGAATCTGGGAATGTTCGAGATCTGTACGCCCTAAACTATTATTATGCATCAGGACAGGACGTTGTTATTATTATCATCCCTGCATCCCAGGACAGTCAAATTGTCAAGGTCGACCGAGTTATGTACACAGTATAACAATAACAATAATAATGTGTAACTAGCCATACCAACCAACCGCGATCGATCGAGTTTGCATCCATGTCAACCTATAAGTTAGCTAACTAACTATATATATCACTATCTCAGTGCCTCAATATATTTAGATTTAGAACCCCCAAAACCTCGAGCTTTTAATCATTCTAAACATGGAATCTGGCTTTACAGACTTTTTAAAAAAAAGGAAGCGCCTGCTGATGACATGTCTCGATCGAAGAGATTGTTCAAAGAACAAGCTCACTCACTCACTCTAATCATGAGTTGGCCTGAGCCTCCAGTTGCATTGTTTGAAACAATATCTCTTATCAAAACATTGATCTATTTTTTAGCATAATGCGACACCTGACGATCAAGTGAGAGTTTTCAAGAAATACCTAAGCATTGTCAATAATAGTGAGTTAATCCGTACTCATGTTGAGAACCAATCCCATATCAATTTTTTTTTTCTCCTCCCCTTTCAACCCTTCAAAAGCTAAAAGTCGCAAAGCTCACAAAGCATGAAAAATATGTGAACATTCTTTGAAGGGTGCTGATTGATGGATCACTTAAGTTAGGTTAATTAGCCTGTATGTGTGAATCTCCAATTAGCCCATGAGGTCGATCAGAAATAAAAAAAAATAGAAATAGAAATAGAAAAAATAAAAAGGATTTGTCCTCAGCGTTACTATTGGGGTACGAGCGGTTATTTGGATCTCCCGTCACGCACTAGATAGATACATAATACTAATGAGTGCAACTTCGTCCAATAATTGAATATACATATTTTCGTTGCGGCCGTGCGCCTCGTGGAATGAGAAATTAGCGCTCAATACACATCATTACCCGGTGGATTGGGTGAACTCATAATTCTCCAGGGGCCTATTAGAATGACGCCTGTAGATATCATATTAATAACGGAATATGGGTTCGATTTCCCTCCCCGCGCATACAACCCCCTGTCTCTTAATGAACGTGGAAAGTGTCAAACTAACCATCCACATGGAGTAATATATCTCTAATGGATACAGCTTGGAATACATGTGGAACCCATCCCCCCCCCCCCCCCCTACCCAAGCGCACGACGTAGCTCAAAGCGATCATCATCATCATCACAAGGGAAACAAGACGACCTGCAACTTTCCCGGAAAATGTCATATTCCCGCCCGGCAGCGGGATAAAAACTGAAGTAAAAGCCGATGACGAACTTCATGACTAGCCAGTCAGTCAATCAACCGTACGGCAGCGCAGGGGTTTCACACTAGTCGTTGGAATGATCGTTCTCAAGAGAGGTACCAAAGAAGCCATGTCCCTGATGTCGAAAAATATAAATATAAATAAATAAATAAAAAGAAAAAGAAAAAGAAAAAGAAAAAGAAACGAAAAGAAATATAAAATAAAATAAAAATTGAAGCCTTCGGCCTGGATGATGCGAAAGTTGCATCAGCAGGACGCGGAATCGACGCGAGTTAGGTTTCGAGGATCCATATTTGTAACTGGCATAGGTAAAAAGGAGGGGCCTGGATTGTCAAATTAACGGATAAATAGATTTAAATCTTATCGCTTCCACGCTACCGGTCTGGAACAATTTGGTTAACCCCTGTGCTCGTCCTACAGTCAAGGAATGGTAGTAGTCGGCCATCCTCGCCAGTTTAGGCTTCTTAAGGAAGGCTTTTGGCAACATTCTGAGGGAAGAGGCGGATCTAGTGACCGAAAAATAACAGAGAACACCCAGGAATGTTGGCACCCTTGGAAAGGAACCACACGAAGACCGAAAACACGAAACACGCACGGGGAAAGAGAGAGGAACGAGTGTCGAACGAATCTACCCCGATAGAGGTTGCATGAGCATTTTGAAGAACGTTGTAAGGATGAAAAATAGGCCTGCAGCGCTTACCGTGATAACCACCCCCAAAACTACGTCAATGTATCATCAGCCCCGGCATCCTGGACACCTATCCCCCGTGTACGCCTCTGCCACGATAGTCGGACATGCACAGTTCCCTGTCTGGACGTTCCAGGTGTGCCCGCAGCTTCCTCTGAACCGTGTCTTGCACATGTTGAAAGTAGACTGAGTGTTGGAGTTTATTATCGAGATAGAAGTTGAAGGGCTCGAGGGGATTCGAGGGTATTTCTTCGGGCATATCTGACAACACCATAAACATGAGGAGGATGGACATACTTATGTCAAGGTGATCGAGCCTCTGGGAGACACCAAAGAAGAACTGCGCGGTAGGGAAGTCAGTGTGCGGGGTAGCCAGCACATCAGTGTGTGCGACATCAAAGTCGATTAATTTCAGTCTCCCGTGCCCAGTCACCAAGATATTATTGATCCTAATATCGCAGTGGTATATATGGGCAGTCTGATGCAGGTATTCAACTGTCTCCTGAAGAAACGCTGGCAGCATTTTCTTCACCAGTTCCGTTGTTGTAGGAGAAACAGGAGAGCGCCATCCGTAGAGCCTCTCCATTCCATACCCAGCGAAACGACCGTCAACAGTCACGATGCTCAGCAAACGGACAATGTTGACGTTGCTTACTAGTCCCGATAGGATCGTAGCATCACGATATACCTTTTTGGTCTTCCACGCAGCGAGCTTGAACACTGTCTCCGGATGATCAGTGCCATCGCTGAATTCTATAGGTAAGCAGTCGCTCCACGTCCCATGCTGCATGGCATGGTAGTCAATCCGTGGGATATCAGGAAAGTCGCTGTCGGCAATAGGAATGGTGTTGCTATCCGTGAACCGCTTTTCATAAGTAACGGACTTGCCCTCCACTATTGTGGTATCATCAAGCAGCGGCAGTGAACTGAGATCGATGGACAGCGGCCCAGTGACGATTACTTGCTTTCCATCCTTGAACAGATAGCGACTGCCGCAGCACTCACTCACAGTCAGGAAACCATCAGTGGATAGTGTCATTTCCCTCTGTCAAAGGTGTCCAGCCAGGACGACAGCGATGATGCTGATACTGTACAATTAACTTAGCGAGTGACAGGAGGACTGACTAGAAAAGAAGGACATGGATGGATGGGGTATTTGAGAGGAGCAACACTGTCGCTCAAAAGGGTAGTTTATCCATATCAACCTTGGCAGTGTCATCTTGGGCCATCTTTTTTTTCCTCTGTTGAGGCTGGGAGCAGTGGTACAGCCAGTATCTATCTAGCACTATATTATGGACAGTCAGTCCCCCGTACATGAGAACAAAGAAATGGGAGATTTTTATATTCCCCCTCTTCTCCCCCCCCTTCTTTTTGGTCGACACGCCAACCACAGCGCCCAGCTCACATGGCAGGCAGTTGATCGGAACACTCTCTGAAGAAGATGATGCTGCAAGATAGACGTAGGAAGACGTGAGCATAACAGGAATAGAAACAGAATAATTCCGCCCGCAGACCAAGCCCCTAATTGTACCGTACAAGCAGTGTACTCTGTACTTGTACTAAATATGTTGCAAGTCCGGAGTGGAAAATAAGCCCTTGCACACGCTAGAAATCTCTCTATATATTAAAGAAAAACCAACTTTTCCGTGCAAAAAACGCTGTAACGTGACCTCACATGACGTCACGTGCACCCCATCAAAAATCCATGGATACGTAATGGCGCCTGCCAATTGCACCACTCTATCTACCCCCTATCATCACCACCGCCTCTAACGCCCCGTAGCACCTCCTATTACTTCCACTTCATACCCCTACCTCCATCTTATCACTCACTCTTACCACCCCTACCACCCCTACCACCCCTACCACTTCTATCACCTCTACCACTTCTACCACCCCTACCATCTTTACCACCACTGCCTCTACCACCTCACAGCCCCCCCTATCACTTTCACTTCATATCTCTACTCTACCCCCATCTTACCACTCACTCTCTTACCATCCCTATCACCTCTACCACCTCTACACTTCTTCCACTCCGACCCCCCCTTACCACCCCTTATCACTCCTTACCACCTTTACCACCCCTACCACCTCTACCACCTCTACCACCATCACTGCCTCTACCGCCTCGCAGCACTCTCTATCACTTCTGCTCTCTATCTCTACTCTCATCTTACCATTCTACCCCTCTCTTACCATCTCTATCACCTCTTCCATTTCTACCACCTCTATCACCTCTCTCTATCACCTTTTCCACTCTCTAGCCTCTCTATCATCATCATTATCTCTACTACTCTACAGTCTCTTCTATCACTTTCACTATCTCTACTTCTCTCTTACTATCTCTATCATATTTTGATCTCTGTGTTTATAGTATATACTGCTAAATACTCTGTAATAAAATCTCATATAATGTCATATACATCTCTTTGAATTCATGAATGAGATTGAATAGCTGACTCTGCAGTCTGTACAGCTCTGATTAATCTGATAATAATGATAGAGATGATACAGAGTGAAAGAGAGTAGTAGAAGAAGTAGAGATGATGATAATGATAATGATGAGAGAGTAGAGAGTGAAAGAGGTGAAAAGAATGATAACAGTGAGTAGAGATAGAGAATGAAAGTGATAAAGGAGATTGTGAGGTGATAGAGATGATGATGATGAA